ATATATTATATTTGATATTTGTCTTATGTGTTTATTATAAGATCATATTTATCATACATCTGAATGTGTCATAGGCGATATATCAAACGAACACTCCACACGATTCATATGGATTTTCTTTTAGTTTAATTTCCTTTTGTTTTTCTCTCTGCCTGTTTGTTATATGTTTTGCAAACATTTGATGTCCTTCCGGTTTTAACTGTTTGTTCAACGTTTTATATACATACTTATTATGTTCAAGTTTCCATTGGGAAATTATTGATCGATGTTTATCGTGTATCGATAGATCAACCTAAAGTACATTATATCCTATTCAAATGTTATTATCAAATGGGTGTTCCGTATTATGAGCGATAAATCTTTGATTTCTCTTAGCCATCCTCTTTTGTTATTCTCTTTCTCTCTATCTCTCTTTCTAATCCTCTGTTGTTGGTTTCTGGTATCTGGTTTCTCAACTTCTTTGGTTTTATCAACTTTTTTCTTTCTATTCTATTCACACTCTATATTCCACTCGTGAGAGATTCGAATCTGAGTCTCTTGTGCTGTGGCTGCTATTATAAATTTCCTTAAGATTTATATATATATCTATGTGAATTCGCGACCTTCACTAATTACCCTTACCCCTCTCTATTTCATGTCTCTAAAAATGCACGTGTGTGCATTACTTTGTGTGTATGTGTGTATACATTACCGTTACACGCGTTGTGCATTATTATTTTTGATTGAAAACCAAACAAAAACAAACAAATTAAAAAAAAAAATCAATACATAAATTGGAAAACAATTATATGAATATAAATTTACAAAATAAATAATATATATAGAGCCTGGCTCAAGATACGCATCGACAAATGTCCTGGCGACCGTGCCACCGGGCACACCACGCGCTGTCAGCACAGAGGATATAACCAGGTGAGTGAGTTGCGCCCCAGCCACAGTGAATATATACTATATAGCAAACAATTGCAGCTGCTTATGATCTGATATGTGTATTACATTTATATTTATTTAATGCCAACAGAGAACCACGCACCATTACCATACAAAAGGGACCGCAAGGTCTGGGCTTCAATATAGTCGGCGGCGAGGATGGACAGGGTATCTATGTATCATTCATATTGGCCGGCGGTCCGGCTGATCTTGGCTCCGAGCTGAAGCGCGGCGATCAGCTGCTCAGTGTGAACAACGTGAATTTGACGCATGCCACACACGAGGAGGCGGCACAGGCACTCAAAGTGAGTTGTTAAACTAATAATATTTAATGTATATGATATGTATGTTTAACTTATGTGCATTTAACCAACAGACATCTGGCGGCGTGGTCACTCTAGTTGCACAGTATCGTCCAGAGGACTACAATCGCTTCGAGGCACGCATTCAGGAGCTGAAACAACAGGCGGCGCTTAGCGCTGGCGGCTCGGGCACCCTGCTGCGCACCACACAGAAGCGATCGCTATATGTGCGCGCTCTGTTCGACTATGATCCAAATCGCGATGACGGTTTGCCATCGCGTGGCCTGCCCTTCAAGCACGGTGACATCCTGCACGTGACCAATGCCTCCGACGACGAATGGTGGCAAGCACGCCGTGTGCTCGGCGACAATGAGGACGAGCAAATTGGTATTGTGCCATCGAAGCGGCGCTGGGAGCGTAAAATGCGTGCACGTGATCGCAGCGTCAAGTTCCAGGGTCATGCGGCAGCTAACAATAATCTAGATAAGGTATAAATAACGCCTTCTGCTCAACAATTTAAAATTGCAACGAAGCGAAGTGAAGATGCAATAGGCAGATATATGTAGATATACAAAAGTTGAATGGAGTTAGTATAGCTCATAGTTATAGTAGATGTGCCGTTAGCCATATGAAAGTTCAATGAATTTTCCACGTTAATCGGCTCCATTTTTATAAAACTGTCTCAAGTCTTCATTGCTTAGTTCTAAATTCTGTGCTAGATATGAATCAAGATTTGTAATATATTCAGCATTATATATAATGTTATATGTAAATTATATAGAAGAACTCGCTTAGAAGCTATTAAGCAATATTGAGTTCCATTTGTGAATTCTTTGAGACATTTTAGTATACTATTTTGATAGCTTAGAAATCATAACAGGCCTACTATATTATTACTATACTAAGCTCTATATTTTGTTTGATACTGAGTGATATGTTTATGTAGAGCTGTATGCTAAAATTCTTGTTATATGAACATCTAGATTTGCAGTGAGCTCAGCATTATACAGTAGAATCTCAATAGTTCGAAATAGCAAGGGGATCAGTTTTTTTTTTTTGATTTACACAGAATTTCAAATTATCTAGAATTATTGAGAACTAATTGTGGGCTAGCAATTTTTTTCTCGATATATCGCGATTTTCGATTTACGAATTATCGAGACTCGACTGTATATAATATTTTGTATAGACATTTTGTTGTACCATATTAAAGGGTTTACAAACGTAACTGAAGTAGAAGCTCCACTTTCTTATATCATCATTATCAGCCTTTGCTACACTTCAGCCCACGCTTCGAGGCTTAATGACTGGCTATTTTTATTTTTAGCCAGACTTATTGTTATTATATTGTTGACTATAATGAATGTAACTTGTCACTAACTGAATGACATCCTCCCTCTTATTACAGCAATCAACTTTAGATCGCAAAAAGAAGAATTTTACGTTCTCACGCAAGTTCCCCTTCATGAAGAGTCGCGATGAGAAGAACGAAGATGGCAGCGATCAAGAGCGTAAGTAGCATAGCTCCAGGGCGTGGCATTCAACCAAACAGAAAATCTATTGAAAACGAGATTAACGCGTTAATCCAGCATTTCAACAACAACAACAACTACTACTACTACTAACAACAACAATTATTACAATAACAACAACAACGACAACAATAGCATCGAGAACAAACAGTGAAAAATCTTGAGCAACAGAGCAACAATTTATTTCGATAATAATTTGTTAAACGCTCTCTCACTTCCGCTGTCTGCCTATCTCTTTCTCTCTCACACTCGCTGTCTCTCTCTACGTGTGTGTGCTTTTGTCTCTGTCACACTGTATTAAATGCTTTTCGTGTGGCATCTTCTAAGTGTGTGTGTCTTCGCGTTGTCTAATTGCAATTACAATAAGTGTGTGTACACCTGCCTTTATCTATCTATCTGTCTCTGTCTCTGTTTCTCGTCGTCTCTCTGGCTGTGTGTGTTGGTGTGTGAGCACACGGCTGGAGCAATTTTAGGTTTATATGACGTACATATATTGTTATAAAGTCAATTTTAATGTTATTTATTTTTATTTTTTTGTGTTCGTTTCTATTCGAATATGTTAATTTAGTTTGTAAGTGGAAAATTTGTCGATTTTCAGTTTCTTTTTCGAAATATATATATGTCTATTCATATACATATGTATGTATGTATGTTTCATAATTGTTCTTTTTTGCTTATGATCAATAAACAATTTATGAATTATAAAATTTAACTGTACTACGAATTGTGTACACACTCACCCACAGTCGACTATACACACACACACACACGCAAACACCCATATAATCTTTATGATTTGATCATATTTCGGCTTGTAGACGAATATATTTGTTATATTTGTTATTTTTTTTATACATATTTATGTTTTAATATGTTTTCTATATGTTTGTCTTTGTTGAATTGAATTTGTAACAATTATTTCATGCATTTTACATTTGTTTTTCGTTTATTTTCATATTTGATTGTGTTGTTCCACACACACACACCCACACATTTGCGATGCCTACCTGCGATTCCTTCATTTTCGACAAAAACAACAACAACAATATTGAATATATATATATATACGCACACACACACACACATGATTGCTGTGATCACCTGGATTGTACTGTGATTTCTCTTGCTGCGTGTGTGTGAACTATGTGAACTTTTCTATATGTAACTATATATGCTATATAGCGAACGGATTTGTAAACAGCAACAGTGAAATCGATGTTAACAATGTTAATAATAATCAAGCGAATGAGCCCCAGCGTAAGTCTCTCTCTTCAGATCTCCCTCTCTGTCTTTCACCTTCTCTCTATACCCCGCTCTGTCACTGTGTGTGTGTGTGCCACGGACACAACCACACACACACACACACTTGTATGTGTGTTTACTTGTTACTTGTGGGTTATCCATCTCAAGTTGTTATCTGTGTACATTGAATATACATCAATATATATAACTATTATACTATATCTACTTATATACATAATGTACAACCTTTGGCATAGGCCTATGTATGTTATCTTACATTGGTTATGTTTAAGCATAAGTTTTGCACACGGTTTATGTTTTAGATGGGGTATTTGTGCTTGGGTCCCAGGAAGAGGGTCTCTCATACACACACACACATACACTTACAACCATACACCCACACATCTGTATACGAAAACAGCATATGTAMTTTGAGCTCTACTAACAAAACGCACATACTTTAAAGACCTATCTCTCCCTATATATACATATATTAAAGTGTTAAGAGCTATATTTGAGTATGTAACCGCCCCAACTCTTTATGTATATTATATACCTACCTACATTTATATATATATATAAATCAACGTGCTTCAGCGTTCGCTACAAACAATGACAACGACAGCAATAGCAACAACAACAACAACAACAACTATAATAACCTATCTATGCTCATTACATTAATATATCTACATCTACATCAACGGTTACAACAGCTGTTTGTGCACACATACATACATATACATAATGTATACTGCGTGTTCTGGAATAGCTATTTAACGCTTATTACCTGTATTACCTATAGAAGCAGCTATTGCTCTAGCCACGTACTGCTGCTAAGCAAGCAAAAAGATACAGGAAATAATACTATAACATCATCATAATCATCGTCATTATCGTCATCAACTCGATTCTCGCTAAATCTAGCTATCTATCTCTCTGTCTGCCTCCTCTTTTCTCTCACTCTCTCTCTCTCTCTCCCTCTCTCTATCTCTCTGCCCTTCTTCCTACATTTGCTGAGGCACACCAAGTTGTGTCTCGAAACCAAATCGAAACTGTTTAATCATCTTTCATTGAAACATACATGAAACTATGAAACTACTTTAACTACTACTCTTACATAATTATCTATATTTTTACTGCTATTCTGTTTTAAACTGACCAAAGCGTATATCTTTTTCGATTCTCTTTTTGTTTTTCTCTTCATTTTCCAGCTTTTATGCTTTGCTACACACAAGACGATGCCAACGCTGAAGGAGGTATGTACTTGACTATAAACTTGATGCCTAACTTGAAGCAATTACATATAGACACACTCACACATATACATATATATACATATAGACATACACATGAACAACAATTAACTCTCACACACACACATACTTTTCTCTCTCTATTTACGTATATTTGTATTTACACTGACAAACTAATTCGATGTTTCATTCAGAAACACATACACATATTTGTATTATTTTTGTATATGTGTTTACATACATACATACATACATACATACATACATACATCCACGGTTACATCAACTACACTAATCCACATGTAATGCATACTAAACTCACTCATTTCAATAAATATATTTTAGCATTTTACGCATCTTTAGCAAGTGAAATATCTAACAATTACATACATATACATACTTACATACATACTTACACATATTATTTAATTAGTTTTGAATAGTTAATAAAGAATAATTTTGTGTTTTTGTTTCTCTTTTTTCTTTGGATCTCATATTTCTCATAATTATTTTATTTCTCGATTTATTTTTACAAATTACCCTTAAGTCCTCTCTTAACATAGACTTAAACATCTGATACATACATATATTACATATACCTATACATATTAATATTTATAACCATTTCAATGCAGATTGAAACATTTTAACTTTAAAAATTTAGAACATTTCTCAAAGTTATTGAAATATATAAGGAACTCAATTTGATATGACTTACCAGTCCATCTAGCTGAATATTTGATTATATATGTATTCATATTTATATTCTATAAACTTGATCAAGAAACGTTTCTTCATATATCTCAGAATTCAACCCAGATAAGGCCTAATTCTCTTTGGCTCTCTTTTGTTTTTCAAATTTCTCTTTGCTCTCGAGTTTCGTAAAAGTTATGGCATAGCTATAAAATGTAACTGTATTTTCTATAATCCAATATATACATATATCTGAGGTACATGAATCTATTATATATATATATATACACACTCACACACATACACATGCATCTTTGGCATATGTAAATAATTGATATT